AGATTTTGGATTAGATACCTCAGCTTGTTGTAACGATTCTTTAGAAACTCATCATACCAACTTTCCTTGGAGCAGAAAAGTACTGCTTCGCGTCGAAGCAAAGCAGGGAGCTCCCAGGGGTGGAAACTCGGTTATGGAGCTTTTACAAGTAAAATTCACTTCTTTTCTCTCTTTTCCTTTCAAATTCATTGTTCAAATGTGCGAGTATTTTATATTTTGAACGACTTAAATACAGAACATTTGGAACCATTAATAGCTTTTATATAGTGCTGAGTCCTGCATGAATTCATTGATTGCATGTTGATTTAACCATGTTCTGGTTCATATGTTTGTTCTAAGTTGGATCCCCTTCCTCTTTTGAAAACCTTGATTATATCGTTGATGTGCATCCAGATGTCTATAAAATCTCGTGGAGAAGATATGATAACTGCTATAGACAGATATTTATTATCCCATACATAGCCAATCTTCTCTATGTATTCCTGTGAGTTGATTTTACAGATTAGATTAAATAATGAAACTAATATGTGAGTTGAAAGATTGTCATAGCTTTGTGAGAAATTATAGCTGGATCATCGGTGAATATGATTAAAATAAGATGGCATCTGGAATTGCTTCCATTAAAAAATGTATCAAAAACTATCAGCAATTACGGAGAAATAAGATTGTAAAGAGAAAACAAGAAGCAAGGTCCACAGAGAAAAGACATGGATTTTGGTGATCATGCTTTTGGTCCTTGATTCCTCGAAACTGAGCTTGAGAGTGTTCAATGAATTTGATGAATCAGTGTTGAGAAAAGTTGAGACAACCTATTTCTTATGTACTGTAGGTAGATGTATATCCGCTTAAGATACATTTGACCGAGGCAATGTACAGAATGGTATGGGGATACCTCTTCCCATCAGAAGACCAAGATTCTCAAAAACGAAAGGTTAGTTTTGGGCTTTGTATCTTTGAATCTGTAAGCAAATTTTCACTGCTATTGGTGATGTTCTTTATGGTTGGAACCTGGGAAATGCAGGAAGTTTGGAAGGTCTCAACAATAGCTGGTGCAAGAAGGGCAAAGAAAAGCATGGATGTTACTGCAGCAGTCAGCCAAGCATTAAAGGAATCCGAGGGATCACACAAATCAAGACCGTCCATTACTGATCTGCCAACTGATTCTAACAAAGTAAGCATCCTTATGTTTTGGTAACTTGTATTAACGCTGAAACTTATTGAGTTGTTTAAGCAACCAGGTTCTATAGAGGCTTTGGATCTTTATATTTCTAATGCATAAGATGTTTCTGGAACCCACTTGCAGGCATCAAAATTGCCAGACCTAAAACCTGGAACCCACTTGAGGAGAACATCTTCTTTCGACAGAATGGAAGACGCTGTTGCAGAGTCCATAGCTACCGAACTTCTCATGCAAGCTCAATCTTCGAAAACGGACCTACTTGAAGACACACGATCTGCTAAAGCTGGTCAACCCATTGAAGAGAAAAAGCCTAGGCCTCCGAAACTGATTGAATTTCGCAGTATCAAGATAAGTCAGGTGGTTCAACTAATTTAATTGGCTGTCTCATGTTTTGTATTGCCATTATTTGGTTTCTATTGTCTTATATTTCTGTTGTTCTGCATTAGGTTGAGCTGTCAATAACGTACGAAGGGTCCAGATTTGTTGTAAGTGATCTCAAGTTGCTGATGGATACATTTCACCGAGTCGAGTTCACCGGAACATGGAGGAGACTGATCTCTCGAGTTAAGAAGCATGTTATATGGGGAGTCCTAAAGTCTGTAACTGGAATGCAGGTAAGGGATCTTAATGATACTCCTGTAAACCGACCTTAAAATCTCCATACTATGAATCTTCTCTTACTTAGAACGTAACAGTCTTGTCTCCCTCCTATTTGTTGGATTAGGACATGGAAATTTCTAATGCTTAATTTTACAATAAACTATGATAATAATTGTTCGTTTCTTCATTTTCTTAAAGCATCCACTACCATCACATATTAGATTTGTGTGGGATTTTATGAAGAAACTAATAAAAAAAATTGAATATACCCGTGCCGAACTTATATTCATTTCTAGCACTCGCACTGATCTCAAGTAACATATTATTTGCAAACATGTAGGAGCTTAGTTTATACCATAAAGTTTGGAATGCAGATCTTCTGACCTTCCTTTTAATTATTTGACATTTTGGTAGGTCAAGAAATTCAAAGACAAGGGACACAGTCAACAGCCAACTACAACTGCTGCTCCTGATGGTGAATTCCATCTCCTTGACAATGACCAAGCTTCTGATCAGAAAAGAGCCTTTCCTAAGCGTTCAGCTGATGGCGCCGGTGATGGATTTGTTACTTCTGTTAGGGGCCTCTTCAACAATCAACGGCGCAAAGCCAAACAATTTGTGCTACGAACTATGAGGGGTGAAGAGGAGGGCGACCAGCAGGGACAGTTGAGTGATGGCGATGCTGAGATCTCTCCATTTGCTCGGCAGCTGACAATAACCAAAGCTAAGAAACTTATTAAGCAGCACACAAAGAAGTTCGAGAAAGGTATGAATTCGTTTACTTCCCCCGATTTAGTTTTGTTTCAAACAATGGTTGTCTATGAAAGTAAGAAGTTTAGACCGACTTTTTTTTTCTGGTTCAGGTTCTGGTTCAATTTCGGGATCGGTTGATCTAGATAAAGAACAAAATCCATCATCTCCTATGAATTCCACCAATCCAACTGCATATGAATCCGACTCTTCTAGTGGATCTGAACTCATTGAGGAACTGAACAGGATTCAGAAATAGATCCATATCTAAAAGAATTGAATTGCGAGTAGGGAGCAAACGCACATACACAATACAACAATAATATGCCTTATCAAACAAAAACAACCATGACCCTAACTTATTTTCAACCCAAATCTGAAGGTGCAAACTTGCATTGCTGACACACATCAAGTGCTTCAAGCAGTTCAATTCTGAAATTTTTGTAGCCTGAATTTAATAATTTTTTTATTTTGTAAAGTACATTTAAACATTTTATTTTGCAATAAAAATAAATAAATGTCAAAGTTGCTATCTTTTTCTCTTTGGGGCATGCTTCAGATATAAGACCTCAAAACATATTTCATCTGCACGGACTGACATGCTTCAAAGGGTTTCGGTGGCATAAACTTTATATCATGTTAGAAGGAAGAAACAAATGGCAACCTCAAAAGCTTAGATCAATATTTTACATGCTCTTCCTTGTCAGCACAAATGTCACACTGGCTTGATTCGACCGAGTTTGACTGAAATAGCAAATAGTATAATAATCTTATTTGAATTTGAATACGACTGTTTGACAAATATTTTAGGGTAATGAATCCAAATATTTAAGTTCTAGGTTAAACTATAAAAATAGTCACCAAACTTTTATGGCACTTTCATTTTAGTCATCAAACTTCTAAAACTTACAATATAATTATTAAACTTTTAATTCACTTTCATTACTATCATTGTTATTAAAGAATGTTAGCGTTAACACATTATATCATCTTCTTTCCCATTAAAAGTAAATTTTTCTGTTCATGAGAAACTCTTCATTTGCAACCTCCCATTTGACTGAATCAATCTTTCTAAAACCCTAAAAAAAATCAATCTCAGTTTTTCCATCAAATTATCAATCACAAAAAAAAATTAAAATAAATGAAAACACAAATTATAGTTTTTAGTACTTTCATTATAAAGCAGTTACAAAACAAATTCTCTAATGAAAAATGAAAAAAAAACTGAAATAAAAGAAAGTAAAGAATCCTAAGAGTATTTATTAAAGAAATTGAAATTAAAATTCGTGCTGCCTAACAATGATAGTAATGAAATATATAGGCAGCAGATTAATGGAGAAAGAGTGAAGATGTTATACAACAAAATTGCTGCCTCCTATGCTCCAAGAAAGTATATAGTTAGTGCTAGGATCATTCACCATGTTAAAGGCTTTATTCAGAAACGACGATCCTGAATTATGAAAATTCTCCATTGGTTGCAACAATGAAATCATCATTATCGAGTTATCTTCATACTTTAAATAATTCAAACACCAATACTATTTCTTTAAAGAAAAATATGAATTCACGGTTTCAAAAATTATGCTCTGTTTAAAAATAAGGATGCATCATACCCTTCAAACCATGGTCTCAAAATTGGTTGAAAAGAGGAAAAGTTGATCATCGGTTGTAGAAAGATAATGAAACTCTTGAGCATGATAAGTGTTGTATTTAGAGACGATGACAAAAGAATGTTGAACATTGATGGCACAAACAAAAAAAATGGACAACTGCCAATTAATTAAGGAACTTTAAGCTTTTTTTGGGAAAATTATGACTTAAATGTGTCATGTCAACATTCCTTAACAACAATAACCACAATGAAAACAAGTTAAAAATTCAACGAATATATTGCAAGTTGCAAAAAAATTAATAATCATATTACAAGCACCCTAAAAGTTCATCGACTTTTTTTAAGTTACCCTAAATTTTATTTCAAAAAATATGAGTTATTCCTTCAAATGTTAATAGATTCAGTTTCTTAACAAAATACCGTTTAATTTAAATTTGAATGATGCTCAATTTTATGCAAATAATAATAAATGGACTCAAAATTGAAGACTAAATATACAAATTCTGATTCAAATATCAGACACACGCACACATACATACAAGTGAACTATAATTTGATAAACTGACAATGTGCCTTGTTTGTGAAAAAACAAAATTCTACTTGCAGTGTAACTTATATTGTTAAGGTTGGCAAAGATGAAACCCTAAAGGGATTAGCTAGTTCGAGGCTAGACTGGTTAAAAATTGTAAGGGGTAGATTCAAATAACAGCGGTCAGAAACATTCATTTTATCTATAATAATGGTGGCTTATAACAATATAGATTCACTCACCACTAGGAAACTGATAGATCAGAACAAGGATTTAGCATAGAAAGGGAAAAGAAATATAAAGTACAATTATCATTACAGAAAAAAGATTATTCATCCTTTACATGAACTAATATGCATTTTGATTAGTACATAAACGAGACTTAGCTAGTTCGTCTAAGGTAATTCTTGTGAGGGATAAGATATTGGATCGTACGGCCTATGAATTTATAAAAGCTAAGATACATGAAGCTTCGGGTAATACAACATCCAGAATGGCTTTTTTCCCCACCCAAAGAGGTAATCTCATGCAAAAGTACCCTAAACGAAGGAACATAGGGGGGAAACCTTGTATACCTATGAAGGCAGCTATGATATCTGTACATATTGCACAAGTTTAAAGGAAATTACTAATCAAGATCTACCTGAAACAATGACCATATTAGCACAGACAATTAGTGTTCGGTAATTAGCACAGAGCCATCACCATTTGAGAAAGAAACTACATTGCTTTGAGTAGGAATAGCAGTTCCAGAATCTGAGTCATTTGCTTCACTATCTCTCTATATCATAAGAAAATGCAAAATCATAGTTTAGGTTAATGAAAGAATCAGGAGGTAAATTAAGACATATGATCAAGAAGCCTAATATAAAAAGTGTATGCATTGAGGAACTTACATGTTCGACTAGAGGCGGGGAATGATCCCGAGTTTTCTTGGGAATATCCTTCAAAGTACCCTGCATAAAAGTTCCTTTGTTAAAAACAGAAAACATGGGGCATGCTTCAGAAGAGGGAAAGCATTGATACACATGCAAAATTAAGCAAATGTAAAAGAAAATGCCCAAAAGAAAAGTGATAGAACTTAAATGTAAGAAACAAAAGGGGAGGCTTGAGGGAAAGAGGGGGGAGACCCACTTCCTGTACCCAGCACATTGGAAAACCTTCTTAATCTTGCATTTTTGAATCAGCGAAATAGTTTACCCCCACCCCAGAACTGTGGACTATCAAACAAAGCAAGAGACAACAACCTTATTTGCCCAGAAAAGTCCACAAGCATTGCACAAAGATCTCGGACCAGATGGACCACGTCGCATCATTGGAGTGGAGTTTGAGCTAATGCCACAGTGAGTACATCTGAAAAAGTAGAAATGGCATTATACTATAACTACAATTATTATAAACTTAATATGAGAATTCACCAGGAAATTTTGAAACTGGCGTCAGTAAATGGAGTGTCATAAGAAAAGAGAGAAATCTAGCATACTTCAGAGAAAGAACATATAAACAATAACACTCTGAAGATGGTATACAACTCACGAAGTATCTGATAGTTTATCACCATCCTGAGTACCCGAGCTCTTAGTTCCATCAGACTTCTTGGAAGTAAATTGACCCTTATCACGCTGCATCCTGAAGCACTCACAGAAATCAGAAACATAAATTAGGCAACTATGGGAACAAATATAAAGTTAACAACAAGGACGGACAGTCCCTGAAGTTTTTCTAGATTCTTTTTCAGTTAAAATAAATCACCCTAGATATTAAGATTCAATTTACGTGAACTCAAATAATTGATATGGACTCAATTACATATATATTTCTAAATTATGCTGTTACTTAACAATGATTACAGTTATAATCCTCTTCCATTTGTCCATGTAATTATACTGTTGCATTTTCTACTAGACAGGGAATTAAAATTTTGAATTTTTAATCATTAATTTATTTTGCCTCTTGAGAGAACCTTATTCGACTTCATCCATTTCTTCTGCATAAGAGTGCCTAACTGAAAAAAATTTAAAGAGACAGAATCAGTCAAACTTTCCTGACTGTAACAACTTAAACCTTACACTTCAAGTTAAGAACAAAAGTCCCAAATGAGTTGATCATTAAGCCTTGGTAACACTAGATGCAAAGTTATGAAGGGTCAAGGGTGCAAGGCACTAGAACACTTATATTCTTGTGGCACAAGATGCAAAAAATATGCTTGCTTGAGTGAAGTTAGGTGCAGCATATATGTGTGTATTTACACAGGTGTGTCATGTACATACATAAAATAACATTAAGATATACAATTATAAACTAGCATGAAAAGGAACACGTGAATAGGATAAATAGCGCATGAAAGTTAAATCTCTCATAATATAAACCATGAAAAGGAGCAATGGAAGGGGACATAAGAGAGAGATGCCAAAAAAAGTGTGAATAAAAATAATTTACTTTGGCTATCCATACAATCAACATAACTCTCATAATATAAACCATACTCTCGTCCAAGTGTTAATGCTCAGTAATTCATAAAACCCGAAAAGGCCATACTCACTGTATTAATTCTGGGGTTAAGTTGTTAGAATCAATTGCAAGATCAATATTAGGATCTTTCTAGTTCAAAATTTGATGAAAACTTTTACAAGCACAGTCACCTAAACTAACTGCATGTCAGGGAAGGAAAATGCACACCTAAGAGCAACTTCCTGGCGAACACCATATCTGACTTTCTTATCAAAGCATCGCTCTTTTCTCTTCTGACGGAACCTATCTAACGAAGCTGCCCTGTGAAGTTGATTAGATCTCGGAATGTCCAAACCACCCTAAGAATGAAAACAAGGTAATTACAAAATAATGTAAAATAATTTCTAAATTAAAAAATTTAAGTGAATTACCCTTAGGTTCTGAGATGACATTTCAATATGGGGACCTGAAGTCAGTTCACATCCCCCTAGCAGTAATAAAACCGCATGGAACTGCAAAAATCGACTCAAAATGAAAGTCTTTACAATGTGCATTTCATTGGGGAAATTATAGAAAAGGAACAATGAAGTATGATGTTGAATATTGCTTTAATAACTTGAATTAAGTGGAAATGAAGTCACATCTCTTTTCAATTTAAGTTGTCTTTTGGTTTTAAAAAATCAAACATTTCAGCAAACCCTAATTGGTTTAACTGGAGAAAGAGAGAGAAAGGCTGTGAAGGCAGAAAATGATACCTTATCCGAAGTAATTGCATCGAATACATAGACCTGGCCGCGAAACGAGAGAGTGAGCTGGCTGGAATCCTCAGCTCGCTGAACGATAACCAAGTCAGAGGCCAAAGCTGCTGCGGCTACGGCTGTGGAGTAAATAGAATCGGTGGCGACGCCCTCAACTCCGATGCCGTTGTCAAGTGGATGAGTGTCGTAACTAATGTTTTGGTGGTTATCGACGGACACGGAGGCTGAGACATCATCACAGACGTCGGCTCCAGAATTGACCATCGGAGCTGGAACATTCATGGGCTGGGACTGTCCGTACATAAAGGAAATTGGGATGTTGAAGCATTTACTGGGAGCAAAAGGGAAAAAGGAGAGTGAATGGGAAACCCCTAATAAATTAAGGGTAAAGTACAGTAAAGGTCACTTAACTTTTCCAAATATTTCATTTAGGTCTCAAAACTTTTAAAACTTGCAATATAATCTCCCAATATTTAGTCTGTTTGCAATATGGTCCCCCAATAGTTATGTCAGGGACCATATTACAAACGGAATAAATGTGGAGGGACTATATTGCAAACGGATTAAATGTTGGAGGGATTATATTACAATTTTTAAAGGTTTTGGGACCTAAATGAAATATTTATAAAAGTTCAGTGACTATTACTATACTTTACTCATTTTATTATTATTGTATATTGATTTTTGATTGTGCCATTACTGGATATAGCTGTAAATCTGAATTACATGGAAGAAATTTAGGAAGGTGTGCAGAAAAGTCTTTGGAAAAAGGAAACAGCTCATCCCAAACTCCACCACTAACCTTCCGCCTATATAAAGTACAAATCCTCCATTCTCCTACCAACAACAACTTCAATTTGTTTCTCTGCCTGCTCAAGTCATGCACGACAATACCCTGCAAGGCCTCCATGTCTTGGGCAGAGAAGACAATTCTTCCCCTCATCCTAGAAGGTAAACACCCTCTTCTCCATAGCTTCTACACTACTACTTCTCTTTCATAAATTTTAATCCTTGGTGCTGTTGTAGGTTGGAGGGAAAGATTGCTATTGTCACCGGCGGACTGCTGGAGAGGCCACGGTGAGGCTTTTCGCCCGACACGGTGCCAAAGTGGTAATTGCAGATGTGGAGGACACTCTTGGTGCCGCTCTTGTAACTCACTGTCTTCTTCCGTCACGTTTGTTCATTGCGATGTGAGCCAATAAGAAGACATCGAGAACTTGATAAGCTCGACGGTTTCCCGGTACGGCCGTCTCGACATCCTTTTCAACAATGCCGGGGTGCTCGGGAATCAGAAGAAGCACTAAAGCATCTTGGATTTCGACGTCGATGAGTTCGATGACGTGATGAGGGTGAACGTGAGGGGAATGGCACTCGGAATCAAACACGCTGCACGTGCAATGATTCCCAGAGGCGGCGGTGGGTGCATCATTTCAACGACGAGTGTAGCTGGAGTCATGGGTGGACTCGGTCCACATGCTTACACAGCCTCGAAACACGCCATTGTCCGGTTGACGAAGAACACCGCCTGTGAATTAGGGCGGTTCGGGATCAGAGTGAAATGCATTTCGCCGTTCGGGGTGGCGACGCCAATGCTGGTGAATGCATGGAGAAGCGACAACGAAGAAGACGATGAGAGCCCAGAACTTGTGGAGAAGACGGAGGAGTTCGTGAGAGGGCTAGCCAATCTGAAAGGTTCGACATTGAGGGCTAAAGACATAGCCGAGGCTGCATTGTATCTTGCTAGCGATGAATCTAAATATGTTAGGGGCCATAATCTTGTAGTTGACGGTGGAATTACAACATCCAGGAATTGTGTTAGCTTGTAACTTCATCATCGTCTTCTTTTCATCTCTTCATTCCTTATATATTCTCAGTCTCATCCTTCCTAGTTGTAAATTTTCAGTTGATGATTTTTTTTCCAAAAAAAAAATATCGATTTGGGTTTAAAAGTTTTGTTGTCGCCATGCATTTTATTTTTTAGTTTTAGATGGTACGTAAGATGCAGTCGCTAGGGAGCTACGGGGAAGAAGGAAGATTAATAACCAATAAATTCAGCGTGTAATGCTAGTTAGAGTCCAGCACGATATTACTTCTTTTTCTGACTTATTTATGAAAATAATATATTTTAAAGTTTTTAAGTAAAATAATTCAAATAATATTATGGGTAAAGTATAGTAATGGTCACTGCACTTTTCTAAAGCTTTCATTTTGGTCTCCCAACTTTTAAAACTTGCAATACAATCTCCCAACATTTAGTTTATTTGCAATATGGTCCCCCAACAGTTACGTCAGAGACCATAAATTAATTTATTAAGAGTAGTTATGTTGTACGGCAGCATATAAGTCTTAGGAAAGATTTATAAAAAATGTTAATATTTTTTTGTAGAGTGCTATCTAAAATGTTATTTTTTATTGTTAATGTTAATTTTATTATCTAGAATGAATATTTTCGATATTAACATTTAACGTAGAAAAAAAACATTTTAGATAGTGTCCGATATTAATATTTTCAATATAAAAAATAAATTTTAGGTAAACATTTCCCGCATAAATTGAGAATGGTTAATTTTAGGTAAACTACGAAATTTCATCACTTAACTTTGATAATATCTTATTTTCATCATTAAACTTTAAACTAAATTAATTTAATAACTCAACTTTTAAATTATTTCAATTTTAGTCACTTAAGTTTAAAATCAGAAATAACAATATTATATGGCATGTTTTCTTAATGATGTTCGACTATTTTTCGTGTTGATGTGAAAGTTATCTCATTTTTTTCATTTCATTATATTTTACAAAAATTTTAAATATTTAGATTTTTTTAATTTGATGTCATCCTTAATATTTTATTCTCTGACTTTTTTTCTCAGATTACTTCAAAAACTAACGAATTAGCCTCATCCCAATTGTTCTATCATTTTAGATTTTTTTTTCATTTTTTAAATTCGTAAAACTGTAACCTAAAATCTTAAGAAAATTTAATACATATTCATATATTTTTTTATAAATAATAACATTTAATCTATTAATTGAATAATTTAAACTAAATACTACATACTTTAAGGTTTAGTGTATCCTATTATTTTGGAAAAATTGTTAAATTTAATTTAATGTGTTAGGGAGAAAAAAATAAAATTAAAATTTTTATATACCTATTAATTTTTAAAAAAAATTAAAATTTTGAATTATCATTCTTAAATTTCTAAATCCGCCACTGCTTTAAACAATCACGGTATCAATTTGTGTGCCACCACCTTCGTAACGTCATGTTGCTAAGATCCTTGCTGATAGAAATGTTACAATAGTCAGAAAATCAATTCATAAGTATATAGTGAAATAAGGTCTAAGACCTCAAAAAAAAAGCTAGAAAATAGATCATAACTTTAGAATGTCCAAATAAAAAATGGAGGAGCTTCAAGCGATGCAACTAGGACGTCCATTATTAAAATTAGGTAAAAGGTATCAAAGTCCTTCATATTTTTCAAATAAAATTAATGTGATCTTCTATTTTTTTTACACTTAACGTGACCCTCCATGTCAAAAAAAAAATCTCAATGTGGTCATTTGATTAGCGTTTTATGTCGTTGACCAACGACTATGTTACTTTATGCTGACATAACACGTTAAGCAGGTCAAAATCATATTTTTTTCTCTCAATCTAGCCATCCAACTCAAGAAAATAACTCAATCTGATCCTCTTATTTTTTTTATCTTCTATTTTAGTCATCAAACTTTAAAAAAATTCAATTTAATCACTCAATTTTTGAATTTTTCATGTTTTAATCATCATGGTTTATTTTATTAATATTATGTATGATGTGGCATTTTTTCTTCAACAAAAGATTTTTTTTTACTTTCATTACCAACTTAAATTGAACTTGTAAAAAATTGAAAAAATTGAGGATGAACTAATTGATCGGGTAATGAAAGAAAAAAAGAAATCTTTAGTTGAAAAGGAAGAAAAATGAAATGAGAGGATAAAGGAGGAGAGTGGAGATTTAGATATATATAACGCAGAGGGTCGTATATCAGCTTGAAAATTATCTTTGTTGCCTTGATGTTGTTGGAATTCTTCTTTGGAACCAGAAGTTGGTAGTTCTTGGGACATGGTCAATGCAAATGATCTTTGGCAAGATGAAAATTTTGATTTGGATCAAGAAGATTATGTTATCGTTAGGCAGGAGGATATTGTATGTTGAGTATCTAGTGAGAAAGCAATGAAATCATGTATATTGAATAGAGAAGATGAATTGTGTTCTTGATCTACATCCCTCTCTTCCTTATATACAACTCTACATAGTTGTTATAGTCTTAACGGACTTTTTAACTAAACATTAACAACCTCAACTAATCATTAACAACAATCTTCTAGAATCACTATGCAACATGCACTAGAGCTCGAGCAGTGTAGGAGCACAATCGTTGATGCTCACTAACTCATTATGCTAACATTCCCTCTTCTTCTTCTTCTTCTTCTTCTTCTTCTTCTTCTTCTTCTTCTTCTTCTTCTTCTTCTTCTTCTTCTTCTGTTCTTATGACCTTGAACACACTATTACAACAAGCTTTAAAAACTAATTACAACTAATTTCTAACATTCAACCTTCTTGATGAACAATTGAATCGAAAGTGCGAATGTTTCCTTCTGTTCACTTGAATTGAAAGCGCCGATGCTTCCTTTTGTTCTTCTTGAATCGAAAGTGTTGATGCTTCATTTCTTTCACTGAATCGAAAGTGCTGATGCTTCCTTTCGTTCTTCTTATTCACCTTCATTTATTTCTTCTTCATTGTTCTTTCAATTATACAAGACCAGAAAAAAATTAATACTACGCTACACCATTTACCCATCAGAAAAATTTCGTTGCTCTGCCTATTACCGAATACATCATTAAGCATGCATGGCTTCTTCCAAAAGAAAATATCCATAAGAAAAAAGAAAAGCATTTTGTTTAACCAGAACCACCCACCTAACTTAGCCCTCTAAAACGAGCCCTAAAACCCAGAGATTTAAACACCAGTGGAGCTAAATCCCCCAGCCCCTCAGTGGCAGCATCCAAATCCTCAACTTCCAAAACATCGGGTGTAATGATCTTCTCAATAATCAACTGGGCAATTCTGTCACCCACTTTCACTTCAAAGTCAACATCTGAATAGTTGAACAAAATCACCCAAGGGGTCCTCTGTAATCTACATCGATTACTCCAGCTCCCACATGGATGGAATGCTTCCAAGCCAAACCAGACCTTGGCGCAACGCGACCATAGGTTCCTTCAGGTATTGAAATGCTTAGATCAGTAGGAATC